ACCCCGGGGGGGGGGGGGATCGTAACGTGCAGCAATGGTCGGTGTGGCCGTGGCCGGGGGAGGAATAAGAATAAGAATAAGAATAAGAATAAGAAATAGGGCGAGCCGAATAATGAAGAGAAGCGAGGTTGTATAATTGACGGCATCCTCTCTGCTGGATTCCATTTTTGCTGATCACCCGCGTCGCCCCTTCCCATCACTCGCCCGCCACTCCCTCTCGCCGCATGTCTCTTTCCCCCCTTTCCATGTCGCCTTGATCATCGCCCTCTCCGACATGGCCACACAACCCCCTCAGTCCCTCCCCTCCTTCGCACAGGCGTTCAGCGTCCCCTCTCTCTCCAGAATCTCTCCATCCGACAACGCCCTCCCCCCCATTCACCGTCTCCACTCCCCCCGCGACCACCGTCGTCGCCCTTCCTCCCCCCCACCCCGCGTCTCGTCCCAGAACAGCTCAGATTCCAGGCAGAACCAGCGCAAACGCCTCCATGTCGAGTCTCCTCCAGATTCAGCTGACCGGTCGGGCTCAGAGTGCGTTCCTTTCTTCTCCTCCTCCCTCCTCCGCCCTGCTCAGCCTTTCATCTGTGCCAGAGGCCACCCATCTCCAAACGCAGTCCGTATCAAGCAGGAGGCTGATCACGACAATCTCCCTCCTCCATCCTCTGAAACGCGATCCGCACCGCGCATGCACGACACAGACGCCTCCTCTGCTGCCGCTCCAGCACCCTCAGACACCAGACCTCCCCCTACGAAACGGCGGCGGACGACGATTAGCGGCATCTCACACCCCATCAACACCGATGTCAAGTCCGTCCCATCAGGCAACATCAACAACATCTCTCCCATGGTGATGGACTTTACGCTCTCCCCAGACGACCCTGCTGCCATGGAACAAATGCGCTCGATGCTCACAATCAAGCAGAGGCAAAAGGAGCTCATCGAGCAGAGAAGAGGAAGCACCGCATCCATCGTCTCCACCGGCGCACCCTCTGTAAATATAGTCAATGCCCCCCACCCGTCCGATGACCGCCAAATACCCCCGAAGCCCTCGCCCTCTGTTCGTACAGCTGCTCGCAGCTCGCAGGCAGTCCAAAACTCGGCAGATCGTCGACGCTCCGTCGCCCCTGCACCGTCTGCAGCGCCGTCCGGCAACCCCGCTTCGTCCAGCACACGGCACCCCAGCCCCCATACGCTTATCGCCCCTCCGCCAGCGCCGTCAGACAGCCCAGCCTTTGTCCATGCGTCGACGTCCTCGGTCGCCCCTCACGCCCTGCCTCCGCCTCCT